GAGCACTATCTGGACAGCCTGCGATCCAACGAGCTGTACGAGTACGTGGAAGATGGCTCGGGCAGCATCCAGTACCTGCCCAAGGGCGACAGCGAGCGGATCCTGCTCCAGCTGGAGCAACCCGTCCACTTCTATGGCGAGCAGTACGAGCAGCTATATGTGAGTACTGCAAATCTAGGGCTGCTGCTTGAATCGCATTCAAAGTATCTCGAAGATTGTGCACTGAATGAATTTTTTTTGCAGCCTGCAGGCTGATAAGAGCGCTCCGATAAGGCAATCAGCATGCAAATACTCGACAATTTAATAGTTTCTAGACCTCTGCTTTTAGTCTATTTCGGGGGCAGCATGCTTTGTTGTGGCCCGCGTATTTATAGGCGACATTAATTTTCGGCAAAACATGACAGCTCGATGAACATCGATTTCCACACACACTCTGACACATCCACTCGAGGGTGGTCCAAGACCAAGACGCAACCCATTGATGTGTCTCCTTGCCGCCTTGGCCAAGTGCCAGGGGCTCCTGAGCAGCCGGGCACTGAGTGTCTGAGTGGTTTCGGCACTTGGCAGCCAAAAGTTATGAGTTCTCCGAGTGGAGAGGCTTTCTGTCTTCTTTCTGCTTCTTAGAGTGTCGCCTATTTTTGAACTTTGTTTTTCAGTCGCCGCGCTCTGCATTTTGTTAGTTAATTAACTGAATTTATGTGTCTGACGTAGAAAAATAGCACGCGGCCGCGGCACAGAATCGGAACACGCCGGAGCGGGTACTATGGCCATAGAAATCCATAAATTTATTGAAATTCCTTGCCAGAGATCACAGAGAGAGAGGAGCCTGTCGCCAGTGCTTGGGTCAAATTGGTGTCGAAACCATTTGGAATCTGTATAAATAGACTCGTCATATTTCCATCCAAAGAAATCGTGTGAATAACCCCAGCCAATAATGTGTTATATATACCTATATATGTTTGATAAGTCCATTCTCAGGCACTTATTGAGATTAAATTTGAATATTTATATTGATTTATTGGAATACCCAAGCACAGTTTGGTATTTAGTTCAGAAATACCTCCTTGAATTAGGCCAATGAATGCCCCAATTTGATTTGAAATATGTGATGTTGGCTTACCCAACCTCAATTTGGCATCCATTGCGGTCTGCATGGCATGGAGTCTGTACATATCACCTGCCAGGCTGGCCGGAATTCCTAGTTGCGGTTCCCCTGCGGCGTTAAATGGTTACCCAGGAAGACACTGATTTATGCTGCGGCCTGTCGGCAGCCACAACAAAGGCATTTCTCGAACACCTGTGCTCCAATTCCTATTCAGATTCCACGTTTGTTTATTCAGATTGCCTGTTGCATTGCTGGAAATGCCAGAGGAAGCTGCATTCCCGCAACTAATTTTAGACGGAACATTGAACGGATGTTGGGCGAGGACTCAATTAGTGTCGGTCCAGCCTCAGATCATTTACACTATATATACGATATCCCCTCGATCTCCGATCGTTTTGCCGCCGCTGTTAATGATTTGTTGTTGTTTTGTTTCCGCCAGGAGAATACCCATTAGGAGTTAAGTGGCCCGTTAGCACTTCACGGGGCGCACAAATTGCAGTGCCATATGGAGGCCAAGTATTTCAAGTACTTTCAAAGGGATCCCAAGTGTAACTTCCTCATTCTCATGTGTTAAGAAAATATTTGTCTATCTTCTGAGCGTATTTAATTCGAAATATGTATACACACTGAAAAAAATGTTTAGGGGTTTGTAATTAAATTAGGTTAATATGAAACTGTAGAGTATATTTACCAACTCTTCTTTATTCTCTTCTCCAGATCAACACCAATGGCATTCTCACCTTCAATGTGGAGTTTGCCGAGTACCTCAATCAGCCCTTTCCCCTGGAGTATTCCTCGATAGCGGCCTTCTACTCCAATGTGGACACCTCGAACAGTAACGATGACACATCCATCTCGTTGTTTGAGACCAAGGAACAGATGACTCTCGATCGTGCGACATCTCTGGTTCGTTATGCCTTCAGCACTCAGGCGGAGTTCGAGGCCCGCCAGGTCATTGTGGCCACATGGCGCAATGTGGGCTACTTTGACTCCAAGACGGACAAGCTGAACACCTTCCAGGTGGCCTTGATTGTGGGCGAGCAGCAGACCTTCGTGCAGTTCATCTATCCAGAGCATGGTCTCAACTGGCTGCAGGGCGAGTCCGCAGGATTGGGCTTACCAGACATCCGTGCCCAGGCTGGATTCGTGGCTGAAGATGGGCGTTACTTTACTTTGACCGGTTCCGGATCGGAGAATGTAAGTGGGAGAGGGGTGTTTATACAATAAAGGATAATATTATATCAACTAATATTTAATTAATGTAAATTGCTACCTCTCTTCCAAATTCAGGCCCGCTTCCTGAGTGAAAGCACCAACCTGGGCGTCCCTGGCGTTTGGCTGTTCGATGTGGCTCCCATTGAGCCGCAGCAGAATGTCCGAACTCCTGACAACGCCGAGACCCTCACAGAGTCCCCCGCCTTGGCCCAGAGCTGCCAGGCCACTGGTCACCAGTGCCACGAGCATGCCCAGTGCCATGACAAAGCCGAGGGCTATTGCTGCGTCTGCTCCAATGGATTCTATGGCAACGGAAAGGCCTGTCTGGCCAATGATCTGCCCATCCGAGTGACAGGCTCCCTGGCCGGAGAGCTCAACCGCCAGCCCGTGGACGAACAGGCCAAGCTGCAGTCATATGTGGTGACCACCGATGCCCGTTCCTACACCACCATCAATCCCCTGACCTCCGAGCTGGGCGCCCAGCTACGCCTGGTGCTGCCCCTGCTGACCACCGTTCCCTGGCTGTTCGCCAAGTCGGTGGGTGGAGTTCCCAACGGTTACCAGCTGACCGGCGGCATCTACGATCATGTCTCCCGCTTGCAATTCGATTCCGGTGAGACGCTCCATGTGAACCAGACCTTCGAGGGCCTCAACTACTGGGATCAGCTCTCGGTTAAGATTGAGTTGTATGGCGATGTGCCGGCGGTGCCCGCCAATGCTGTCCTCCACCTGCCCGACTATGTGGATGAGTACCGCTTCGTGCGTCCCGGTGAGCTGCAGTCAGTGCAGTCGCATCAGCTGGAGGTCACGGAGGAGCAGCGCGTTCTGGGCGTGCAGGTGGACCAGCGCATCCTGTACACCAGCTGCCTGCGAGACGATGAGCCCGACCCGAGCGAAACAACCGTGCTGCAAAAGATCTCCAAGGTTGCCCTGGACTTTGTGGAACGCGACCAGGCGCTGCGTATCAGTGCCATGAGCAAGGTGGGAGTCACTGCCGAGTCGAACGCCTGCACGGATGGTACCGCCGAGTGTGGCGAGAACTCTGTATGCGTTCCCGACGAGGATACCTATCGCTGCGACTGCCACCATGGCTATGCCGCCCAGGTGGATGAGCGTAACCTGCAGGTTTGTGTGGACATCGATGAGTGCGCCGCGGGTACCCATGTCTGCGATGAGAACGCCATTTGCGAGAACACCGAGGGTGGCTTCAGCTGCTACTGCTCCGAGGGATTCCAGGGCAACGGCTATCGCTGTCTGTCCAACTCTACAGCCGACAACATTGAATACTCCACGCCCGCAGGTCAGGCACAAGTCGAGCCTACTCCGGAGCCCAACCCGTATCCCGATCAAGATCAGGAGCAGGGGCCAGAGTACGATCATGATCGTGAGCAGCAGCCCCAGCCAGATCCTTATCCATATCCCGGCCAGGACGAGCAGGGTCCCCAACATCCCGATGAGTGCTATGTAAGAGCTCCCTTTCTTAATTTAGTTTTTCTTTATTAAAATATTTTGTTTCCTTAGCGCTGCTCCAAGGACGCCAACTGCTACGGAGGACGCTGCACCTGCCATGATGGCTTCTCCGGCGATGGCTATCAGTGCACTAACATCTGCGGCAACGGCGAGGTCTGGGAGGACGGACGCTGTGAGCCCCTGCTGCTGGACAGGCATGACCTGGAGCCGTCGTGTGATTTCTTTGGTGAGTGCCGCTGCCCCGATGGATACGATCTGTCCGAGGATGGCCAGCGTTGCATTTACGCTCACGACTTGGATTCCCACGAGAGGAATGCTGATCTGAGTAAGTTACACAGAGCCACACACTGCATATGAAGAAATTTTAATTCTGATTCCCTGCAGTTCCCTGCGACGTGGATGCCAACTGTCATATTAATGCCACCTGCGTGTGGTATGATCAGGAGCTGCGCCACATTTGCACCTGCAGCGCCGGCTTCAGGGGCGATGGCTACAACTGCGAACTCATCGATGACTCCTGCGCGATTGTAAGCTAAAATTGAGGTTATAACTAGGGCATACACTAACCCGTTTTGCCTTCAAGAAACCGGATATTTGCGATGTCCACGCCTCCTGCCAATATAACGAACAACTGGGCAAGTCCGAGTGCCAGTGCGTGCGCGGCTACGAGGGCGACGGCTTCCGCTGCCAGCTGGCCCCCGAGTGCCAGGCCGCCGAGCATTGCGGTGAGAATGCCTTCTGTGATGATGGAGTCTGCCAGTGCCAGCCGGACTACGAAAGGGATGTCAATGATCGCTGTGTGCCAGCCGGACGATGTGGCAATGTCTTCTGTGGCTCCAATGCCATCTGCAAGTGGGATTCGGTGCAGAGCGTTCAGTTCTGCGACTGCCTCGAGGGCTACCAGGGCGATGCGTTGCAAGGATGCACCAGCAAGCCGCTGTCCTGTCACGTGTCCAACAACTGCGGCATCCATGCCACCTGCGAGCCCACCGAGTGAGTGTATAAGGATGGGAATCTACTGCCGAATCGGAATATATTTCTTTCATTTCACTATCAGAGATCCTGCCAACTATGAGTGCCAGTGCATCGCCGGCTTCCATGGTGATGGCTATATCTGCATCGAGGAGCAGAATTGCCTGAACAACCCGACCCTGTGCGACATGAATGCCCAATGCCGTTCAACCAACTCTGGCCTGGTCTGCGTCTGCAATCAGGGTGAGTTATGATTCATTTATTGGAACTTCCCAAGGAAGCAGCCCCCGCTTCCTTTGCCGCTTTCTCGCTCTGGATGGGCTTTGTCTCCTGGAAGCCCCTCTTTTGATCACACGAATTGCACGAGCTAAAGAAGACGAAGCCGAAGAGTGTTAGGGCCAGAACCACGTTAAAGTAGCCATTATTGCGGTCCCAGGTTAGCGGATGCATAAAAAACTCCCGCATGGACTGCAAGGGAGTGGGTCGCTGGGTGGGGTCCCTGGGGCTTAAGTTTGGCTGGTTGATGCAGCGAAACTGCGGTTGGAATCTCGCTCTCAGTCCTTTGGCGACTGGGCGCCATGTCCTCGTCAGTTGGTTCATTTCTTTATAGGAGAAAGAGGTTCCGATATTTAGAGAAAGGAGAAAGACATGGAGTACTTACTGAAAAATACAGGAAATTTAGAAGAGAGGAGGTAGAAAGGTTTGAAAAAGGGAATTATTTATGTTGAAAGGCAGGGATTACTGAGATTTGTATATGTTTCTTCCTTATTTCAGGTTTCTATGGCAATGGCTCCCTGTGCCTGGAGCGTCAGCAGCACGACTCGGACTTCCTGATTGTCAGCCAGGGTGTGGTGATCGTGAGGGTTCCCCTGAACGGACGCAATGTCCTTCCCATTTCGGTGGCCCAGATGGCCATCGGCCTGGACAAGGACTGTGTGGAGGGTCGTGTCTACTGGGGCGACATCTCTGCCAAGAAGATCGTGAGCGCCAAGTACGATGGAACCGATGCCCGTCCCTTCATCACCACTGGTAGGATGGTTAAGTCAAGTCTCTCCCAAGGCACAGCCTCTTAGCTTGTTGTTACCCACAGATATTGAATCGCCTGAGGGCATTGCCATCGATGTGATCTCGCGCCGTCTGTACTGGACGGATTCGGTGAAGGACACCATCGAAGTGGCCAGCCTGGATGACCCCACGCTGAGGGCAGTGATCATTAACAAGCAGCTGGTGAATCCCCGTGGCATAGCCGTGGATCCCTACAGGGAGTAAGTGTCTCCTGTCTTCTTCAAGTCTCTCTGTACTGAGGTGTATCTTAATTCTTGTGCAGAAAACTCTTCTGGTCGGACTGGGACCGCTCCTCGCCTAAGATCGAGATGTCCAATTTGGATGGCACTGGTCGGGAACTGCTGCTGGGCAAAGAGTCCGTGAACCTGCCCAACTCCCTGGTGGTTCTCGATAACTCTGGCGAGCTGTGCTTTGCGGATGCGGGCACCAAAAAGGTGGAGTGCATCCAGCCACAGAACCGCCAGCTGCGTCCCATCTCAAATGAGCTCTCTTATCCATTTGGCTTGACCTTCACGCACGATCAGTTCTACTGGACGGACTGGACCACGTGAGTTGCTGGAGATTTCCCACATTAATTTGGGATTTTTACTAAATAATTATATTTTTTTGTATAGCAAAAAGCTAGAGAGCGTGGACAGTCAGGGCACCCGCCAGAAGGCCATCCAGACGCCCTTCTTTGGCAGCCACAAGATGTACGGCATGACGGCCGTGGAGCAGCAGTGCCCGCAATACCAGAGCCCCTGCCAGATCAACAACGGCGGATGCACTGACTCCCGGCTGTGTCTGGTGAATCGCCAGGCGCCGTCCGGCAAGAGCTGCAAGTGACCAGCGCCTCGACGGGATGCAGTCTGCCCTCACCCTATCCCAACTATTAATTCTATCTTTAATGGAACCCAAAGAAAAAAAAATATTTTTCGATACGTATACACCAAACGCAAGAAGAACACACTCAAAGCAAGTTAACCAAAGGGAGGAGAGCGCAGTTGAAGTAAACTAAAATAAATAAATAAACTAACTAGGAATGCCTGTGTGCCATTTTATGTAAAGCTACTCAAAACAAGAATAATTAATAAAGAATAATTTAATTAAAGGGGTCTATGAATTTCCAGAAAACTAGAGCTCAACACATTTGATCTATCAACTCCTCTTCCAAGTTATTTTGGTTAAAGTTAAACTCGAATTCAATTATTTCCAACTATAGTTTTGAGTTTATTGTGAGTTCTGTTAGGCATGCCTTAAAGAGCATCGCACCGATAAATATTACAGCAAGTTTATACCCTAGCACACACCGAATGCATTCTCTAATGCTGTAGCCAATGACAGATGCGGTTTCGTTACCTACTTTTGTACATTGAGACATCGATTTGATCTATGTGGTAGAGATGCAGATATACAGGCTATACATACAGTATACGGATCTATATAAATAGGTTTTTCTTTCGGGGTGCTCTAGGCATATAAGCTTAACTAGGTTTACTCTCGAGACACTGGAATGCATTTCATCGTCATCGTTGACTAAAATTTTCCTTATAAAACTGCTTTTAGAGGGGGGGAGTGCTTTAACTAACATTTTTGAAGTGTGTGTGTTTATGGTATATGTTTTGTGTGTAGGTACGTTGTTTGCATTGGCTAATTTCTATAGATCCTAAGTGTATATATATCGAATTGAGTTAGAGGGACGTGGGTTGCGTTGTCTAACAGTATGCTACAGACAGACCTGTCAGATGCGTAACGCCCATTTTCCAAGCAATTTTTCAGCTAGGTATCGTATGGCATTACGCATCTTAAGGATGCCTTTGGCTTCAGGGTTATGTTAGCTGCGAACGCTTGTTCATAGAGCTCATTGAATTTGGTTCAGTTGCCGACACTCGATCCTCTCGGCCCCATTTAGCCTTATCTAGTTAATTCTAAGCTAATATCTATATTTCTAGATTCTGTTGTCTTCCGATTTAAGTTTGTTTTTTCAATTAGGTTCTAATAGTTTTTCCTTGAATGCATTTTTGGTTCCTAGCAATATAGTTTATATACAAATTCTTTGATTTATTTAATATATATATGTATACATATTTTTGTTGGTTTTGTAAAGCATTAGAGTATACCAAAGCCCGTTCCAATTTATATTATGAAAACCGTTTCACTTTCTAGGATTTTGTTCTGTTTTGTTTTGTTACCTTGCCATCGTAAAACATTGCTAATAGTTTTACAAAATGTGGATTCTAGTGTGTGTGTATAGTACAAGACATTGATAGCACCTTCATATATGTTTCTATATGGGGTTTCGTGGGTCTGAGGAGGGGAAGCTAAACCGAACCGAAGCCCAACTAATTGGTGAGGTCATACCTAAGGTATATACAGGGGTCGAGCCCGATCTATTTGATAGTTTGCTATCCTCGGATATGCTTAGGTCTAGGCATCGGATATTTACATTTTTATAGTTAGCTAAGTCACCGTCGAATCTATCCAATAGTTTAACTACATTTGTTGTTCCCAAAACACAATTTGCGCGACCTTGGCTTGCAAAGCCGACATAATGCATTGCTTACAAACTAATATACATATATCCTCGAGTGTTATTGGTATTCCCAAGGGATAAGGGGATCAGTGATCCCATGAACGTACAATACTAAACTTAAAGGGGCTCGCAAATGGATCTCCCAGGGCCACACACCACAGACAGACTTTTGGGGGTGGGATTGGTTGGCTTGGTTTGCTTGGTTGGTTGCCTGCTGGCTGGGTTCCTAATACTTTCGATCCGATCAGAACTTATCTCTACGGGAGTGTCTGTGCGTGCTGGCCGTGTTCTATATCCACTTGTTTTTCGACATGGAGGAGCGGAGACGGCGCCCCCACATCAGGTTGTATCATACAATCGTTCCCTGCAGATGCTGCGGCGACGACACCTGCGACGGCTGTTGTCCCAGCGAGTCCTGAGCCTGCAGTGATCCACTGGCTCCCGACGAGGTGCTCGGTCCTGGTCCCAGGTCTGCCGTATTAATGGCCAGCGAGGAACCGGCACCCAGCATGCCTCCGGTGGAGGAACCGGCACCGGATGGATTAATCCCACCGCCGCCGCCACCGCCCAAGACGCAGGGCACACCCAACATGGGTGTGGGTTCCTCGGGTGGTGTCACCTGCAAGGAGATTTGATTCTGGATCGAACGTTAGTTTACTCTCATGAAATTTGGAGGACTCAAGGAACACCCACCTCCATGCCGATGCTGCCATTGAGCGATATCTTGATGGGATTACTATGGTTCGTTGCCTGCATAAGGGTGGTGAAATGACTGATGCCGATCTCCTCCAGCGACGACTTTCTCCGGCCGTGGCTAACGCCCACGCTGGGAAGGCCCTGTCGCAGGGACGAGGATCGACGGAGCAGGATGTCGTTGTCAATCTGCAAGAGGAGCAAACGGGGGAAATATCCACAATTTGTGGCGGTCATTAGTTGTGTTAGTAAGCCCCAAACCGTGAGGTTATGATGCCAACAAAACTCAATTACGGTTACACATACAAATTGGCTATTGTTGCAGTTACTCAAAGAATCAAAACAAACACATTAAGAAGGAACACGTGTGAACTTCAACTCGCAATGGCGACGCAATGGTGAGACGCTGACATCTAAATTGATTTCGGGTTAGTTTTCTTTAAGTATCTTGTGATTTTCCTCAGAGTGCGAGCTATGACAATGAGTTATTGCTTGTTGCTGTTGACTGTTGCAGTGGCCCTTTGCTGTTGCCTCGTCTTAGAGTTGCAGTTGCAGTGGCTGCCGTGCTGATTGGTGGAGTGTTCTGCGGCTCAACTTTAACTTCTTTTTTTTGGAAATGAGTACCCACAATTTTGATGCTCAGTGTGAGAGTGCAAGTGCTTAGCCCCAAAAGGCGGGGTGAAAGCAACGGGGTGAACGCATTCGTTTGTTTTAGCCAATTTGTTAGAACAGAAAGAATATGAACAATGAAACCAGGCTTAATCTAAAATGTGTAGCTAGTTAAGAAGTGTTTCGGGATTCTGCTGCTTGGGTTAACAATGCGATCTATATTTGTATGAAATTGATTTCAGGCTCTCTTAGAGGTTATTTAAATAGCCCGAAAGAGAAAGCAATTTAGACCCAATTAATATATATATTTTCTTGAGTTCAACCATACTTTTAGCTATATAATCGCATTGCAAACTCCCCTTAAACTTTCTTAATGTATCTGAACGTAAATTGAACAAACAAACGTGGAAAATAGGTGGATCGAATTAAAACGAAATCAACATAGAGAGAGGAAGATAGAAGTGTTTGGGTGCAATTTGTGAGTGTTTGTTTGAGTGATGTGAGTGTGTGGGTATAATAGTAATAATAGCCAACCCGCAATGAGTTACTCCGTCCACGCTGATTGCCAACCACCGTCGGACTGTCGGGTAGAGAAAGAGAATTCGATTTAATTTGCTGCATCGGGGGGCTACAGCGCTGCGAGGATGATCCATACCCGGCCAAAGTCTGAACGCTCTGCATTTGCATGGGGTTCAAACCGGCGATGCCGGAGCCTCGACGCGATCCAGCCCCGACGGCGGTGTTGGCCATGTTCATGTTCATCTGCGGCATTTGGGGGCCGCAGGTGGCGCCCAGATTAATGTTCGAACAGAATGAGATGTTTGACTTGCGGCGCGAGTTGTGTCGCTCGAAGGTCTTTTGGGCCGAGAACGGCGATGGCCTAACCAGGTAGCTGTCAAGGGAAATTGTCGATGCAAATTAATATGTACTTATTCGGGGAGACTTGCATATGGGACTTAATTAGCCTGACTAAACTCACATGAGATCGCCTTCCTCCAGCTTGAGATCACAGCTCGGATTGATTATCACATAGGAAAGGTGGTTACGCTTCTCGCTCACATCGTCATAGTCGATTGTGGGTAGATTCAGGGACTCCATTCGACTCCTCACCAGATTCGCAATCTCCGCCCGTTCGATCTGCTGGGCATGGTTGTCCCTTGCCTCGTCGGCCAGGTTGATGGAATACTAAAAGAATTGGTTGCAACTTCAATACACTAAGCCTTGATTTCAACCACTTTTCAAGGCCAGCTGGAGAAAGCTCTGCCAACTGGCCCGTTGAGTTTATATTCTTTCTGATCCTGGGTTAGTGTGGTTGTTGTGCTGAGATGCAGACGGATGGACTGTGGATGGGCTTCATCGTAGCTTGCTTGCTGATATGGTTGTTAGTTTGCTGTTAATCATGCTACCATTACAAAGAGAACACCATGCCGCAGAAGCAGGGAACGATGCAAAATCAAGACGGACCTACCGTTTACCACTGCTACGACCCCCACCGGAAACGCCCCCGCGGAAACACTCAGTCACGAGGGATGAGGAGGAGGGATGCTGGATGATACTTACGGATGATCCTTTGCGCTCAGAGCAACCGCCGAGGCAGTTGACCGACCGCTGACGCTGCGGCTGCGGCCGGAAACTGCTGGCGCCACCTGTTGCCGACGCAGGCGGGCGGTAGGTGACTCCGCGCAGCATTTCCGTTGAGTCCTTCGTCGAGTCGGGCGTGCCGGTCTCCTCGTCGTACTGATGAGGCATGCCCATGATTTGGTTTTGGTGTATTTATTGGCGTATGCAAATTCGAGTTCGATGGGAGTTTGGTTAAACACAAGATGATTTACATATTTAATTGGTTTTTAATTGAAATGGCAAATTACTTTCGCTGTTCCACACTCATTTTTCGTGTATGCATATGTATGTGAAAAGGTATCTGTGTGTGAGTGTGTGTGGCATGGCATGGTGGTTGGTTGAGTTTGTGGCCTTAGCAAAAATGTTAACATTTAGGTTTAGATTCAAGCATGCCACGGCAGAAAGGCGGCAGGCAATGGTCCGCCTTCCCCTCCGCCAACTGTTAAATTATAATGCGAGTTTCTGGGAAATTAATACACGCGATTGTGTTGATCCAAGAAAAAGCCAGAAAGCAAAAAAGTTTCTCAACAGAAAAGCAATAAGAGAGAACACTATAAAGAAAGGAAGGTGCAAGGGCAAGCGGTTAGGCTGCGTTGTTTTTCAACTGCAAATTGGACAAAAGCAAAGTTTCATCTGCTGGGAACATTTCTCTTCTACTTTCTAATTGAATTGAATTATTATTTTTTTTTGTTTTGCTTTCCAATTATCCCCAAAGTGGTTGCCCATTGTATTGATTTTTAAATCGAGCAGACATTTTTAATGAGCTCTTAGCGCGCGTCAATGCGGGGACAACCGCTTTTGAATAATTTAGATGGATTTTTTTTTTTTTGGAAGCCAGAGTGTGGGTTAGGAGAAATTACAACGCTCTAGGCATGGCAAGCAAACTGCAATCAACTAATTAAAAGCCGCATGCAAACAGCGAAGGTAGCAGAAACAGAAACGGAAACAAAAACCAAACGGAAATCAAATTAAAGCCGAAACCGGAAATGCCAAACATGCAGCAGGCAGCAGGCAACAGGTCACGCAGGAGCAGGAGCAGGAGCAGGAATAGGAGCAACTCTGGGAGAGGGATTCAGCTACAACTACCCACTCCCAATATGGGGGCCAACAACAACTACGACTAGACTACACACAGTTTACACACCACACATACAATTAACGGATTGGGAGGCCAGGCTAATGGGGCAGGCAGATGAGGTTTTGTATGAAGTGTGGTATTTTATTTTCTTTTCTTTTTCGATTTCGGTTTTCGATTTCTCGCTTCGAGGGGAACTCACTGCGTGCGTGTGCGTCAGGTCCAATGCAAACGCAAATCAATTGTTCAATTGGTACAACGGGTCGTATGTGTAATTTGTATGAGTAATTTCTCTTTTTGGCCTGATCTAAATGCTCACAGAACGCTGATTAAATCTGTCTGATTGTTGTCTTCCTAGCTCATGAGAAATGCTGAATGATGGCAAACAAAAAATATATATTTGAACACAATCCAAAAAGTAGAGGGGCGATCGGGGAAAGGTCAGAGCTACGTACGTGAAAACCAAACGTAAAATGAGTAATCGGAACCAAAACTGCAATGGGAGTGGGAGTCGTAATCGGAGTCAGAATCAGCACGCTATGCTTTATATATTCGCATTAATATATATTTTAACAAGTGTGTATAAGTTGTGGTAAAGGGGTTAGTTTACTTTAGAGGGTAGCAAGTCGCTGCTAATGGCGTCAATCAAGCTTAAATGTTGGATAAATCTATTTATGTCTTTACCAATTCTGTACTTGTACAAGTCGGAAGATATTATGTATATATATTCGGATATATATATAGAGAGAGAGAGAGATCGAGAGAGGGAGTAAACGAATGCACTTAACGATATTGGATATATGTAAAACTTGATATCATGATGAACAGACTTCAGACTCAATGCAGTTAGTAGTAAAGCGTAAGCGTGTGATCGAAATTAGGAGACCAACTCAAGGATAGTGAAATCAGAAATAATAAATTAAAAGCAAGGAGCAAGGATAAGGCCTCGTCTCCATTGGGATAACTCAATTCGGTAATTGGCAACTCAGGTTAAGAAATCATTATCGCTTTCGGGTAATTTACTTTCGCTGTGTTTCGGTGTGTGTACCTAATCGCAACTCGGAATACGAATACGTGAGCAAGAGACAAGAAAAAGAGCTATTGTTAGAGTTATAGTTAGAGTTATAGTAGTTAGAGTAGAGTTTGAGTAGAGCTAGAGTAGAGCTAGAGAGATAGAGTTAGACATAGAGCAACAGAGAGAGAGAGAGATAGACAGGCTAGAGGTGTGGCGAGTGTGTGTGGAGTGAGCGTGGGTGTCAGTTGGGTTAGAAACAGATGTCCCTGCTCGGTCTTGAAGCTGAAGATGTCTTGGATCTTGAGGAGATTTGCTCATTGCTGTTTTGCTGTTTGCTGTGACTGGACTCACCGATGGACGCAAGCGCACACAATGTCTGCTGAAGGCGGAGAAGGGTCCCCATCTCTCGACCGGCGAGTTACTCACATGAGACGTGTCCGCGTTCGATGTGTCCTGGGTGCGGTAGATGCCAATCGGTATTTCGCAGGTCGTTGAGCAAAGCTTCTGGTACAGCCGCCCGTAGGTGCGTATCCACATGTCGTCCTTGGTGATGCGCATCTGCAGGATATTCGCGGAATGTCATTCTCTATCTCAGTTTCGAGTAAGTCTGCTGATTAGTGGCACTCACCGAGGTCAGAAAACCACTGCCCGGGGCCTGGTCGATGCCCAGCAGAAGCCTCACAAACGTAATCACATAGTCCTTGACAAAGGCCTGGTACAGCAGAGTGTCCAGCATGGAGGCACTGAACACGGCTCCGGCGGCAAAGGGCAGACGGAACATGTAGGAGATGTGCGACCCGCGCTCCTTCTCGCGCTGCAATAAAGTGAGCGGCAAATTAACCAAATGACAGCTGAAGGCTGGGGGCGGTGGCCAATGCGCTACCGACCTTTTCCATTTTGCTCAGGTGCAGGGCGTACTTGTCGTGGGCCCGGAACTGCATAAATCTCATGTTGGAGCTCTGCGACAGCTCCGTGATGCTCTTGATGCTGGGGAAGAACCTGCAAGGGATGGCAGAGAGAGGAATCATCAGAATGCCGTGGAAATTCCAGCACATAAATCACGCTCGCACTCACTTGAACATGTTCTGCACGGCCACAATGGTGTTGCAGTCAGAGAGGGAGTCCTCCTCGGCTGAATTGGAGAGCTCTTTGTTGACCACCACCACGCTCTCGGCCAGCGTGATGCCAGCCCTCAGCAGATCGTCCAGGCAGTCTATCGATCCCAGCATCCAGTATACCTAGTCCAAAGGATTATTAAGTGTTAGTCATAAAACGAGAGCGTCTTAAATTACCAATGGAAAGTAGGAAAGGGCATCCAGGAAGGCCACGTCCGGCCTGCGCTCTAGCAGCAGAATGATGGGATTCAGTGAAGTCTTCGACCTGAAGTGAGCTCTCAGCGGTATGATGAAGTTGTAGATCCCATTGGAGGCATAGTCCGCTGCCAGGATGATGGTCTTGTTCTGCCACTGATACTCCTTGGCATTCCTATAGCTGCAGTGCTCGCAGACCTACAAATGAGATGAGATGGCGTTTCCCAATGAATTGGAATGGCCAGCAGAACTACCGGTGACATCTCTCACCTGAGCCAGCTGGAGGCAGCACAGAGGCTTCTTCTCCTTGAGCAGGTAGCAGAGCGTGGGGCTCACGCCGATGAAGGGCGACACGGGTGGAAAGCCCTTGACAATGCTGGAATTGCAGACAGTTTTGGTTTAGCCACGACTCCTCTTCCCATTGGGGCTAGGGGCGGGAGCAGGATGTGGATGAGGATGAGGACAGCGGATGGCGGATAGCAGATGGGCGGGATAGCTGCTCTGTGAGGGTGCGAGGTGGGCAAGCTAGGTGTGTGCTGGGACACGATTCAAACGATTCAAACGAATCAGCTACGAGGTACGAGAAAGGAGATTGAGTTTCAAGGGAGAAGAATGCAAACTACTGGCATTTCCAAAACATTCACTACGAATTAACAAATGGCTGAACTGAAAGTGTGATTTCCTGTCCTTCTTCTCTTGACAACCACTGCGGATGAGGGCGAACTTTTGGCCGCTCCCCGGGAGCGGACTCTGGAAATGAATGCACAATTGAAGCCGAAAGCAAAACAAAGGCAAGGCATGGCAAGGCAAGGCAAGGCAAGGCGAAAGCAGAAGCAAATGCAGATGAGATGAGGAGACCCAGGGCAACGTCAACGCAACAGCAATCACAGCAACGGAACAGTAACGAATCTCAAGTTGCTGCTCCGTTGGTCCAAGGTAAACGGCGGCGTCATTAAAAGATGTCCTGCGGCAGGCAAACAAAAGCAACAACATCAACAAGGAACCAAGGAACGAAGGAACGAGTAACAACGACAAGAACTCTTCAACAAATGGCATGTGTCCGCAGAATGGCGTGGCGCGTTTTTCCGCTCCCCTCGTCAGACTTACCAGGAGTAGTCGGCGACCCACACAGGACGCACCGGACGACGCGTCTCTACGGAACTGCTCGACGTGAATGCCGTAGCCCCTGCTCCTGCTCCTGCTCCTGATCCTTCTGCTGCTGCCACTGCTGCTGCTGTCGTAGTGGTTGTGGTGGAGCAACTGCAGGAGCAGCAACGCTGCAACTGCCGCCTGCGAGCCGCTAACCTGGCCAAGGCTCCTCCACCCAGGCCCAGACCCATGCCCATGCCCGTTCCCATGCCCATTCCGGGCACACTGCGGCATTCACTGTCGCAGCTAAAGCTCTTCTTCATGACGCGCCTGCGCAACTGCGGCAGATACTCCTCGGCCAAGTCAATGGAATCACCAGTGGAGTCTCCAGCATATGGAGTAGGGTTAGGAACAGCAGCAGCAGCAGCAGCAGAACCGGCAGCGGAAGCGGATGTGGCAACAGTGGCATGGCAGAAGCTGCAACTGTGCTGATTCGAATCCTCCGAGGAGCTCATGATGAGCGAATAGGTGCGCGATTGGGGAAAGTGCCCGCCCAAGCAGCTGAGGCGAAGTGGTCGATTCTCGTTAGGTTTGATGTGTTCAGAGAGGGTGGTGGTTATATATGTAAGTAGTAAGTAAGGTCTAGGTGGAGGGGACTCTAGTGCTTAAATACAACATATACATTTTTTACATTCAGTTTGAATTCAGCAATCCTCAGAGATCGAGCAAAGATTCATAAAAAGAATGCTTATACGCAGCATATATTATCTTTGTTCTCGGACAAATCAGAGAAAGATAGAAGCTAGTAAATTAAGCTATCTTAAAACACATGAACATGAATGTAATTTAATAGTGTGAAACTTAGCTAAGGGAATCAAATAATATCTATATTTTATATAAAGCACTTAAGTGATCCCCTCGGATTGCTGAAATCAGACTTGGATGGTCTATATACACAGATTAGGGTCGAGATTAGTTTCTTATGGAAAATAGGTCGCTAAGAAGTTACAGTTAGTGATACACATACGTGTTACAATCGGGCTGAGGATTAAACTCTATATAGATAGAGACACTACACTTTTTAGGGGAGAGTGGTGGGAATCGGTGCCTCGGAATAGTGACAAAAGGGGAACATTAAGTAGGCTCAGATGGGCGATACTCACGCAATCTTTTCCGATGGAGAACGCCAAGGCATCTCGTCATCGATTTCATCATCACTCTCGTCGCCCTCTTCGCCATCATCGTTGCCCGCGATGCTGAATGAGGATGAGGTGAACATGTCTGGCACGGGAAGGATCGAAGGACGTCTGCTACCTAGAAAGGAAGGATATATACATATATCATATCATCCATCACTAACCACCTTATAGATTAACTGGTAAGAAACTGAGCTCACTTACCCCTCCGCTGGTTGAGCACATCCGGACTGAGCAGGTTCGGGTTGTTGGCAAAGGGCACGTCCAGGTGATTACCCGTTGTGGTCAGTGTGGCTGGCGTGATGCTCAGCGAGGTGCCCATGCCATGACCCACCCCAAGGCCACCTCCTGCACCTCCACCCGATCCACCGGCCATGCTCGGGGATCCCATTGCCTGGGGTGGCGGCGGCAGGGTTGTTGTGGTTATCGTCGTCGTCGTCGCCGCCGTCTGGGTCACCGTCGTGTCCCTGAGGTTCTGGCGGGAGTCCGAGATTATCACAGCCGTTGGATTATCGCCGGCTAGATGGGGAGAGCGGAGAGTGCAGTTAGTCCGCGTTAACTTGTCGATCAATATCCATTCTAATTACAACTACTTTGGCGCTTGCTTTACAGGATAAAAGGTCCACTAATTTCAGCTGAGCGAAAAAAGGTGACTATAAGAGACAGAGAGACAGAAAGAGCGAGCGAGCGGAAAAGGCGCAGTGAAGGCAGGTGGGAGCAGGTGGGCAGAGTTGAGCGGAAAATCTACAGGGCAAACCTGGGGAAAACAACTCGTTAAAAGTCCTCGACAAGATTGCACTGGCCGGGAAACTTTCGGCAAAGTGATTAAGCTGCAACTTTGCCAAAATGTTGTCTTTCCCTGCCTTTGGCAATAGTTTTTGGTTACTTAATTACGGGGGCAGCAAGGGGGTGAGGGGTGGAGCGGGGGCGTGGGACATGGCTTAATTTAAGCGCACAAAACAAGCTTAACTATAAACTATTTCTACGCAGCTAATTTACACGAATTGTTGCGTGTGGCGGGAATATTATTTACATTGTTATAGAAATACCATCAAGACATCCAAGACACATGCGCACACACACAAACGCAAACGGAAACGGAAACAGGAGAGAGTGCAAGGACTGGCAAGAAGGACAACAAGAAGAACGGAAGTTGAGAAAGTGAAAAAGTGATGTTTGGGCAAAGACAACTACGAAACGTGTGAAAAAAGAAGCCAAGTGAAAAATGAAGCAAACACCGAAAATAGTTTTGCGTAGTGAAAAAGCGGGGGAAAAGGATATGTCAGAGTCTAGGATAGGTGTGGTTTTTTAAGGGTGGACCTCAGTTATGTTTAAAATTGAATGAAGACTATAATATGTACCAGATGTTAGCCAATTGTTTTATATGTACAAAGAGTCAATCAAATGTTTTCTATGATCTTTTTTAAAATCTCTCTTCCTTTAAATCAAAGTAATTTTGTAGGAGAGAATAGAAAATCATTATCATTAGTGTTAGTCTCAATTTATCACTTCAGATATATTTATTAGTCTGATTTTGTAATAGAAAATGGTCCACCCTAGGTTTAGTATTTGAATTATATATGTAGTATGCATTTGTGTCTCTGAGTGTAAGAAACAGGAATGCAGAAACGCTTTTTGATGGCAGCGGAAATGTGTGTGTCTCTTGACATGGGTAGCGGTGAAGAATGCGAAATACGTGGGGTATTTTATATTTTTGTTATAAAGTCAGCTCAAGCTTGAAAATCGGGACAGCGAGAGATATAGCTTGGATATGTGAGCTGAGTTGGGTTTTTTTGTATATTTTCTTGTGTGTGAAGTGAAAAAGTGAAAGACTGAGGGGCAAAGAACATGTTAAAAGACAAAAGGCGAAAGTAATATGTGTGTTTTGCTTCATTTTTTCTCAAAAGATGGGGTTTCTCTTGACTTGGTGGTGGAGTGGTTTTTATGTTTTTTTTTGGGGGGTTTTTAGTATTTGGTATTTGGTATTTCTGGTGTCACACTCACGCACAAATAGTGATGCAAACTCGCCACTGTCTGGTGTTTGCATTGGCGGATGCGATTGCGGATACGATTGCGGATACGGATACGGTTGCAAGTGGGTGGTGCCGGCGGTGGTGCCACCACCACTATCGTAACTGGGACTGTGGGGCACACGCACACAAACAGACGGCACTGGTGGTGGTGCGGCTGCTGCTGCATTTAATGTTGCATTTATTGTTGCTGTTGTTGTTGATGCTGATAGTAATGTTGATGATGTGAAGGTTGTGCTAATTGTTGTTGCTTGTATTGTTGTTTTAATTGGAGTTGTTGTTGTTGTTATTGGAGTTGTTGTTGTTGTTGTTGGAATTGCTGTATTGTCATTAGTTGAATGATGATGTTTCGTTATTTTTATATTTGCAACATTCAAACATACATTAACATTAAACGATATTGTAAGTAATTGTTAATTATTTTGTTGTAAACTTATGTCAAGAGTCACCCTAGTCAAGTCAGTTTCGTCGAATTTCGATTGATAATGTTTTTATTGAAATTTGAATATGATTAGATACATTTTCTTGGCCAGACAGGCTACTGTCCTTAAGGCTTCTCAGTAATGAACTCATTCAATAATATAATATTATTCTCCTGCATTTTAATAAATTTTTAAAATCAAAATCAATTTGTGAAATTTCACGCAATTTGAAAGGCATACAGAATCGTATTTATGCCTAATCACAAACGGAAACGGAAGTCAGTCATATGAAGTGTGGGATTGGTGTAATGTTGTAACTATGTGTATGTGTTTGTGGGGTTATAGACATAAGCTAACCTAATGTAATGTAATTAACCCCAAGTGTGGTCTAAGGCCAAGGAAAATATCCCTAGTCTACATTAATCTAAAACGAAACTAAGTTCCGGTCTAAAGGACATTCCCTTTGGGACACTAGAAGCGTGTTCTTGGACTTCTGGTAAATGTTTTCATATTTGTTATATAGTTGTTGCAATTTATTTTAAGGACAGCTAAAGATAATAAAGCGGTTAAGTTACTCCCTCGCAGGAAACATTAATTAACAAAATGGAACACAAACAAATTGATTTCGGGTGGAAGAGAAAGTTTCACAGAAAAACACAAGAAATCAAATCGGGCCAGGCGGATACTGTGATTAACGTTAATTCGAGGCAGACACACTGAAAGCGTTTTCGTTTCATTCAGACAAAACCAAACCAACTGAAAACTAAGGGGGGGAAAAATGGAGGGAAATCGACAAAGGAAAACTTTTAACTCAGCCTCAAAAATAAGGAAAATCGGATAAATAGAATAAGAGAGCGAGAGAGAGAGAGAGAGATAGAGCAAGAACTTGTTGCTAAATAAGGAAAGCTCATAATTTATATGTATATAGATATCATATTTATGTTCGTATGTAAACGGGTTTTATATAGTAAGTAGTTCCATCCATCCTTAAACGCTCGGACCTCAATCACACACACACTCACACACTCGCTTAGTTATGGAAAGGATATGGAGAAGGGTCTACCCACCAGTTGCAGCCGCTGGATGAGCGGAGGCGGAGGTGGATCCACCTCCCTCCTTGGCAGCTGCCGCCGGATCCGATGTTTGATTTTGATTAACGACAAATGCGGAATTCTCCTCCTTGGTGATGCTCATATAATAGCACGTGTCATCCTTTTTCATAATGTGTCTGGGCCCCGGGTTCAGCAGAATGGTATCCTCGTAGAATTCCGGCAGCTCCGCCGGACGCACGCCCACCAGGGCCACGCCATATCTGCGAAGGACATCGAGTTTCATTTCGTATGTATTTTAACCCAAATTCCGGACAGAATCCCATCAAGCTTAATACTCACTTGCGATGTGAATGGAAGCTGGCGTAGGTGAAGCTCTTGCCCTCGTACTCCCCGAAGAAGCGGCTGTCGCCCAGGACAATGTGGTAGATCTCATTGCCGGAACACTTGCCATACAGGCGGTGCCACTCCTCCGGACTCTGCTGGCCCTCCCTGCAGACACACACACAGATGGAGAAAAAAAGTGGCTTTAATTTCGCGGTTCAAGTCATGAGAAATGCATGAGTCACGGCTCATTTTGTGACCCAATTAGTGTTCGTTGACATCTGATTAACGTGCCCTTTCACGGCTCACGGAAACTAAAAGCCGCATTTAATTGAAGGTTACCACAACATCTTCTTGCTACCTTTCAACTTTCATCTAATCTTCACACTTGCCGAGGGCCAGGTACAATTTCCTGTTTACCTTTGGCATGTCACAATATCCGTTTAATTAAAACTGTCATCGGAAGTTGCATGTGAGAATGCAGGAGGGGGCAAAAAGTAGAGAACTAATCCTGTCGTTTGAAGTAAACTCATTAATTTTTAATTTACTTTCAGTCTTTAGAAGCTCTTAACCGCTTAAAAGGTGAATCTAAAATGACGATGTTAAACCCTTTAGTTTGAGTTAAGAGTGAATTTTATTTCCAGGGGAAGTGTAATAAAATTTGAAGACCCTTTGGAATTCGCACTAACTCTTGTCTATTTTTACACCTTAGAACTCATTAAAATGATGGAAAATTGAAATCCAACTTGTCATAATAAACTGTAACTATTGTTTTAATGGAAAAGCTTAAATGTTTCAGCTAAAATGAACTGGAATTGACTTAAATGTTGTGGCCAACTTTTCCCATTTTATTGTGGGGGAGTTCCCCTTTGTAAACGAATTGCGGCTCTCCCAGCCCGGCTTATGCAGTTAGCCACTCTCCCACCTAAAGCTAAGCCAAATTAGCTGCCTCCACAAAAAAAAACATATACATAAAGGCCGCAGGAAAAACGTCTGAATGAGCAATCAAGCGGCTAGCTCCTCCGCCGGTGATGACGTGACGCATCCAAGCGAGCCGATGACGCACAGCGGATAGAGAACTTTTTGCATGTGTGTACCGGGCCAGGATAACAGTTAAGAGTTAACAGTTGACCGGCCAGCGAGGATACAAAGATACGTGGGTAAGTGGATAGGAAAGTGTAGTTACGTACTGGCCACGGGAGGTGTGGAGCAGCAGGGTGACCAGTGTGCTGGCGCCGGGACAGGTGCAATTGTTGGCCAGCAGGGCGTACTTGAACTCGTCCTCGCAGACCACGTGCTCCGCGAACTTCACATGCAGCTTGTGCTCCGGCCTGCAGAATGAGGGGAAATGGGAAATGGAATTTCCGCAGGATGTTCGATTCGTGGCATTTCATTTCGATGCGTCGATGGGTCGTTGCGTCGCATCGCGATTGGCATTTGCAAATAGCAGAAGAAATCGAAATTATTTGGGGCAGAACAAAAAGTGTATGTATATAGGGTAGGAGTAGAAGGAGCCTGGCAACCACCCACCTGAAAATCTGCACATACTGCGGCACATTCGGCGCAAAGTCCTTGACGGCCCAGGAGCGTAGGATGGTGTGCTCGTCGGCGGCCGTCTTGTCTGCATAGTTCCTGGCCGCCAGAATGAAGCACGCCTCCGCCTCGTTCATCCGGGCGCGTGCCAAGTCCCCATCCTTCAGACAGGAGCCCTGCAATGGCAATGCCGCGTGGGAATCCCCCACATTGGCCGTTACTCACGGTAACCAAGCCAGATTAGACCCAAGTCTCACCTGAATGTAGATGACACGCTGCGCCCAGATGGGCACCTGCAGGATCATCCGCATCGTTGTGTCCAGCTCCATGGGACTGAGGAGAACCACATAGAAGTCCTGCAGCAGCGGGTGGGCGTAGAACTCGTTGAGGAAGTCCATGATGGTGTCCGCATGGAGTGTGGTGGAGCACACCACCACATGCTTCTCACTCTGGGCGCGATGGGAGCTATAGCTGCCGCCCAGTTTCTGTCGCTCCATCCACGTGAAGGCCAGTTGTTCAAACTATGAATGCATGTCATCATAAATAATAAAGCCATTAAATATCGATGGAAAGTCTACAGCAGAACATTTCTTCTAAATATATTAAATGCCTGACTAACAAGAGTGACCCCTATATATATATAATGGAAATGACCTTTATCCTGTTTAATTCAATTCCAGGGCTTGAAATCAATTCAATTAAAGTGCGTGGGATTTTTGGTTTTCGTGGCAACATTTTGATCAAAACGCTTGCAACTTTATACAGTTTTTTTTTATTTCGTTGGAAAGCCGACGTCCATGGATCATAAATTCTGCAGCATATTGACATGCACTAGGAGCTTTTAGTGCTGGCAGAACAAAAGTCCTTCTCCTCCCGTTCCCAAAACTAGTCGCATGTCCAGGGAAAAGGTATAAAAACTGTTTTGATGGATGCTCTTGTTGTTTGCTATTTGGCGAAACGGCCAGCAACGGTCACTCATATTTCTAATGCTCTTTCTGAATGGGATGCTATCAAGGGATAATGTGCTGGACAAAGTACTTTTATTGCTTCTATTTATCACAATCTCTTGTATGTAAAGGCATCTCACATTCTCAGTGTACACAAATTGCTTTATCTATATTACAAGTCTATTAAACTCTGATTAAAATAATTCTTTTTGTTATTCTAGATTTGTCGGATTTTTCATTACGATTTCAACTGATTATCAACGATCCTGTCATCATATTTATGTGGCTTTGATAATCCCTAAACCTATCCATCATCGCAGGGTATACCCTCATCGTAATTCCAATGTCTTGATTTTTTCTAGCTTGTATTCCTCGATGGAATCCTTACTCTTCCTTCCGCTCCCCGTTCTTGTTCTGCGTTTGTTTTTGTTGATAAAACAATTGTTTGCAAATTGTTGAACATGGCAGTCAGTCACTCAGACGGAGAAGATGAGGCGGGGTCACGGACAGACAGCGAGGGAACGATTCCCATCGACAGCATCACTCCCCCCTCACATTTATTAATATCGATTGATGGCCAAAGTCCTTCCATCTGCGCACACAGATGCAGATGATGGATGAGGATAAGGATAAGGATTGTGTCCTGGCTCATGGAGCATAAATATTTGATGTGGCTTCTTTGACCGGCCATAAAATGGCTTTTAAACGGAACTATTTGGCAATGGATACGCAGTATCCCAATCCGATCCCACATAAATTAGATCCCAGGACTTACCTGCGTGGGCAGCACAATGAGGGCGACACAAATCATGATGACCATGTAGAGCTGCGAGGGCCAGATATCCGGCACCAAGTCACCGTAACCCACTGTGGAGAAGGTCACAACCACATAGTAAGTGCTCTGAAAGAGGTTTAAATGTCGATGTCCAGCCCGCTGGAAGTGCTGAATGCCACAGACGCTAAAGAGAATACAAGGAAATTTGGTTTGGAAGCATTTAAATGGAGCGTTGAGGTCTTAAATCGTTACCTAGTAAATACTAGACACAGCAAAGTGGCCGAGAGTATGGTCAATTGCTGGGAGAGCGCCGACTGGGACTTTTGCATGGCGCGATGAAGGTCATTCTTTAGGGGAAAAGCCATAGAAAACAACTGATTAAATCTCTGCAAAAGATATATTATTAAAGCCAACTCACAAACATATTCTCCAGCGATCGCTTGGCCAGCCAGCAATTGAGGAAAATAGGAATAAATAAATTGCGCAACGGAGGATGAACGATCTGAATTTAAAGGATTAAAGATTAAAGTAATCTGATCTGACCTATAAATACTAGCTATAACTAACCGTTAGTGCAAAGGGTATTGTCGTTACTAATTCTAGTATAAAGTGAAATGAAAGTATCTGCTGCCAGATGTTGCCCTGCAAGTAAGAAATATACATTAAAGTCAAAGTTCCAGAGATCTACTTAAGATCTAGTTTCTCACCTTATAGCCTAGATATGTCAGAACCAAGGATTGCGTTAACGACACCATGGCGAGGAGCAGCTGCAGGACCCAGAGCACTGTCGGCCGATTCACCCAGAGTATGCCGTCCCAATTGATGATGGGGTTCTCCTGGAACTCCTCCTCCGTCAACTTGCGCGAAAGGATGAACTCCGTTTTATTGCCCACTTCGCAGCCATAGCTGTGAATAACGATTCAATCAATCAATCAATCATTGGAGACCTATTCTCTTCGAACTTACCATGTTATAAATGTTGGATTTATATCCAATATCACACGTATTATGTAGAGAACACACGACAGTAACTTAAGGAATAAATCGGCGATTCGTATGCGCAAGCCTTTTTAGGGATAGCAAATATATATTATATGTATATATGTATAGAATGGGGAGGAAAAGCTTAGGAATTTGGGTCAGTTGAGTGAATTACAATGTCTACAAATGTTTGTTGTTAACCCTCCCCATATAGCCTCCCAAGACGAGACCAAGACCTGTGTTTACCTGTTCAATTATTTCGTTTCCAAATCAATATTTACTCAAGATTATCGAATTCGCCTTTGTAATGTCATTCGTTTGTCCGTCTGTCTCTGTGGGTTCGATGTGTATTTCCTTCCGTCCCCGTCACTAATCAAATTCAATTAAATGCCACCTTGTTGATTGTTGTAGTTAAGCTGAATATTTCAGTTAATGCAAAGACAATACTTACTTGAACGCTGATTCTTAATGAAATAGAGTTGCAGTCTTTCTTTGAATGTGTTTTCGTTCACATAGTACTCCACACGAACTCTGCAACGAGAAGAGGGAACGGAGGATGATTGAGCTCCTAAATTGACTTGTCGAACAAAGCCCCTCCGATAAGAACCCTTCTTCGCCGGCAAGCTTTTATTCCCGCCAATCGAATTTCCCTTCTTGTTCTCGTGCTCGTTGCACTTGACAATTGATGCGCTTACTTATCACATTAAGTGACGCAGCTGGATGCAGTTCCTTTACGCAGGAGCCGTACCAAGGTACTGAGAGAAATTCATAGAACTATGTTAAATAGAGTGAATGGTGATGAGATAAGGATAACCATATTAATAAATGATAATGGAAAGGATAAAGGACTTGTACAGCAACCAACATGTACTTTGCAAATTTACTTTAGACTTATTTTGTAATAATAATAATAATAGTATGAGAAGTATGCAGAGATTAACCTGCAAGATACACAATTTAATCTCTACAAATACCACCCTAATTAGGGAGAGTATATGAAGAGATTTTATTAAGTATTCAAAGCAAAAAGGAATTATAAGGAGTTTCACTATTTTTATAAGAGTTTTTGTCTTTCAATATAAGCATACCCAAATCAAGGGTAACATGAGCCCATTATATTTCCATTTTATATATATTTTAAGGATTTCCTTCATGTGTAAGTGGTTAGTGCGTGCAGCTAAGTATCCTGGAAGTACCAAAGAAATGTGGGGTGGCAAAATGGTAAAAGGGATGAGAGAAAATAGGGCAACTAGGAACCCGGCACACACGTGACTGCTTAGGCTCCACCCACAGCCTTTCAAGGACGAAGGGCGTCTGCCAGTTGCCCTGTGATAAAGCGGCGTGAATAAGTTTCCATCAAAGATAGTCTGCAGGAAGGCAATCGTATTGATGTGCTCCTTAACTTGATCAAAGGAAATACTCACACTTTTATCATTATACTATAGAAGCTACAGTCTTTCCAGGGTAAGTTATGCTCGACTACTGACTCCTAGGCAAAATGCCTTTCCGAACTTATTCATACTTGGCTGCAGCTGCAACAGTGCTGCCTTAAGTGGGGAAAGAGTTTTACAATTCAAGCACCAGCACACATGGCGTATGAGCAACAAAATGCGAAGCTTACTCGTGTGTGTCAGTGTCTAAAGCTGAATATTTTTATGCTCTGCTCGTGTATTGCATTAAGGGTCTCAGTGTCTGAATATTCAAAGTGGCGAGAAAACATTTGCGGGTCAGCCAAAAGGACACTTGACTGCACAAGACACTCGTTGCCTGGTTGCCTGGCTGTCTGACTGCATGGGCTTTAGTAATTAAAAGGGTGGCTTAAAGTGCAGACAAAGAAACTCGAGCGAGATTCAATTAACTGCTGGCCACCTTTTTAGCCTTTGTTCTCGCCTTCTGTCCCAGCTCATTTAGGGTGTACTTGGCCACTCTGAATATTCATGTCAAGGTTAAGAAACCGAACGAATAGTTCAAGTGGCTCCCGGCACCAGAAATGGCACCTTGGGGGCCATTCCAGGACCAAGGACGATGACTGCCAGTGCTAGTGCGTGGCGAAATTAACGAGCGTGGCCCAAACCATAGCGCACACATTGGGCAAGTGACCAATCAGTTATGGCCCGGCCAGGAGCCAGGAGCAAGAAAAATAGCAACCAAAGAGCACCATACAATCAACTCTGACCTGCCCTCGAAGGATATCTTGCCCTGCTCTGCGGTTTGCTCCCCGGCGGAGCGTTCATTCCCCTCTCTTTTTTTCTGGCGGCCATTGAACGCGGCACAATCGCCGGCCAGCTGGCTATAACTTCTGGCCAAGACCCGCCGGAGAACGGGTCAGCAATCACTTGTCACTTGTGCGCCACTTTTCATAGCTTTAAGTCTTTAGTGGCAAGCAAATAAAATAAATCCCATTTGATTCCTCAAATATAAACTCACACATATGCAATCAAAACCATGAATTATTTGCATTTCGTTTCAATGCAAATATTTCCATAAAGGAAAATAATTGTGAAAACGCTGCAGCAAAGAAAGGTAGAGTCAGGGAGCAAAAAAGCTGAATACAAATTATTTTAATATATTTTTGAACAAGAAAAGAAACTAACTAAGTAGAGGTTTATATACCCTTGCAGGATGCAATTGAATTCTAGGACCGAATTTAAAACGGAACATAACTTACCTTTAATAATTTGCATTCTTTGAATGATTGTCATAGACATTTTTGAAAAAAAATCCAAGTTTAAAAAACTCATAACGAAGCCAAAAAAACATTAATTTCAATTCAGAAAGCTGTGCCATGTTAGTTTTTAATAGGGTAATAGATCTGCATACTCAAAATGAAATTTTAAAAAAACAAGAAAATTGTCCATTTTTGGCAATTTTAATGATGTAACCCCTTATCATTTTTTGCAAAATTCGAAGTTTTCGCAAAAAAATAGATTTTGTCCGGAGATAGCTAGATCGATTTAGCTTTTGATGCTGATCAAGAATATATATACTTTATGGGGTGGGAAATGACTCCTTCATTGTTTTTTACGCTTCTGACTATAATTGTAATCCCACTTTTTGAGTCGATATTATTTATATTTTTATATGAAAATCTGTTCAATAAATCAATGTCATAGTCATAACTTTGCCAAAACAGCATTAATTTTAATTCGGAAAGCTGTTCCACGTTATTTTGTATGTTGTTAATAAAACTGCATACTGCTTCATTATTTTGCTGGCTTGTGACTAAAATTATAATACCACTCTTTGAGCCGGAATTATTTATAGCTTTATTTTTATACCTATATATGAAAATTGGTAAATAAATCAATGCTTAAGATAGTCATAACTGAGCCAAAAACGCCTTAATTTCAATTCGGAAAGCTGTCCCATGTTAGTTTTTAGTGCGGTAATAAATCTGCATACTCAAAATAAAATTTTAAAAAATCAAGAAAATTGTCAATTTTTGGCAATTTTAATGATGTAACCCCTTATCTTATTTTGCAAAATTCGAAGTTTTCGCAAAAAAAATAGATTTTGTCCGGAGATAGCTAGATCGATTCAGCTTTTGATGCTGATCAAGAATATATATACTTTATGGGGTCGGAAATGACTCTTTTACTGCTTTGCACGCATCTGACTAAAATTATAATACCATCAATAATAAAACTAAAATTAAGAAAATTAATGCTTTTGTTGTATTGTAATTAAGTGAAGCTCTTTTATACGACTTTTAAAACTTCACCTTCATCATCTAAATTAAGACAAGGTTAAGGGAATTAAATTTTTTTTCTTTTCATTTGTATACATATTGAATTTACAAACTTTTCAAACTGAAATAATTGTCTAGATGAAAACTGACCAGAAAAGTTGGCTTAAGATTCGAAATTGAATATGGCGCAATTAAAAGTTTTCAAACTTTGGCCTGAAGTTATAAATATATTCAATTAAAGCTGTCTTGGTAAAGATTTCTTCTATTTCTTTTGAGCCTTAAATTATTCTCATTTAAATGTACCCAAAAAGTTATCAAATTCGTACATAGAATCTACTTTAAATAACTCCATTTTCCATAAATTAAAGTTAACCTCCCCTTGTGTGTATTATAATAATATTATTTACATCTTTAATATGAACTTTGCAACCCCAAATAATTGGATTTATACCCGCAGGAACTCACAAATTTGCCTATGTGAAGTTTTGAGCTCTACCCGTCAAGTTATGAACTTTTAAAGTAACCCCCAACTTGGACTTGGACTTAAATTGAGTCGCCTCTTGGTCCTCATGGTCCTGGTCCTGGCCTGGCTTCTATTTTTCTTTGCCGTGAAAGAGAGTGAGCCAAGCCGAGCTGAGCTAACGACAAATTGCACGTTAATGTGTTTTTGTTTTGCCATCATTTGATTATCCAGAGATATTGAGTTTAAAGCTCACTAAAATGGGCAAATGGGCAGCCCGCGGCGGGATGTGCTTAGATTGTTTTACCTTTATTGATTTTTGATTTGGCGCTTTTTAAGGAAAATTTGATTTAATTTCGTGTGCGTGGTGGGCTCAGGTTTCTGTCTTCTTCGTGTCGAGATTTGATTACAACTCCTTGATGAAATTGCGCTCGAAAGGAACGGCAGCGAAGCCCGGCAAATCAAAGGCCACAAAGGAGCTCTGGGAAAATGCCTAACATAACAAGGCCGGTGAAAGCGAAAACAAAAGGTTTTCTTGTGTCTTATTTTTCGGCTGAATTGCCGTCTACACAATGGCCCATTGGCTAGGGATCACAAAGGCGGACAAAAGGACATCATTCAGGCCATGCGTGGTCTCAGGTACCCACAGATTGCATCCCAGGACTAAGGGACCTCCCTTGTTTTGTTCTCGGCTCCATGCATGTTTATTGCCGCGCTGATGAGGCGGCATTTCGTCATATCCCCACTGAAGTATCCATTAAGGAAGCTGCATTGATTGCTTCTCGTAAAACGACAAGAGCTTTCCGGGATATTCACTTATTTATGTCTGTGCAAATGACAACTGAAAGTAAGGGCGGAATTCCTGAAATTACTCGTGAGGGGAATGCATTTTGCATCAAGCACTTCCGGCCCTAATTTCCACCTATTCAAACTTACAGAAATACTAATGAAATACTAATGGGGGAAATTCCCCAGGAATGAGCCCCACCTACACCCCCTAACTTCTTGATTGTGTGTGTATAAGCTTTTAGTTGAGACTCTGATTCGATTATGAATCGACGCCTGGCTGCCACTTTGACCTGTTAATGGCAATCACGCCGTTCAAATAGAATTTCCAATTGAGTTAGGACACACGGGGCGTATGAGCGATGTCCGCGATGCTCGGTGCTTACCTGGGTATTCGATCGTAGGAGTCCCACGAGGAGAGACAATTGTAGGACGAATTGCGACTATTGCCCGCCATATTGCATAATAGATGATCCATTGGCTCGAACCGCGACGCGACACGCAGCACTTTAATTAATTTCACGTCGCTCCGATCACTCTGTCAAATTGCGTTGCATTTTCGATCACCGACAACCGGAGGGTTTCACTGATATGTAT